TCAGCATAACCATTATGGCTTGTTGCAGTTTAGGTTCTTACAAGGATATTTCTTGGATCACATGATCTCACACATCTGGAGGAAATAATGAACAACACAAACAGACCCAGAGAAAGAGAACCAGCGATCAGATTCTCAAAAATCAGAGGGAAAGTAAAGGAGGATGGGGGTAAGGGGAAGAGATCAACCAAAAGAAAAAAAATTCTTAAGAATAAACTTAAGAGTGTGAAAGACCTACATACTAAAAATTTCACAGCATGATTAAAAGAGATTGAAAAAAATACAACAAATTGGAAAATAAGCCTTGTTCATGGATTGGATGAACCAACATAGTTCATCCCATACTTCCCAAAGCAATATACCAATTTAATGCAACCCCCAACAAAACACCAATGTCAGTTTTTAAAGACATAGGACAAGAAATCATCACACCACAAAAGACTCTGAATAGACAAAACAATACTGAGTAAAAATAAAGCTGGAGGTATCATGCTACCTGTCTTCAAATTATATTACAGAGCTACAATAATAAAAACAGCATGGTATTGACAGAAAATAGACAAACAGATCAATGGAACAGAATAAAGAGTCCAGCTGCAAATAAACATGTATATGGACAGATAATTTTCTACAAAGGAGCCAGAAACATTCAATGGAGTAAATAAATGGTGCTAGGAAAACTGGCAAGACACATGCAAATGATTGAAACTGAATTGCATTTTGTCCCCATGTACTAAAATTAATTAAAAATTGATCAAAGGCCAAAACCGGTTTGACTCAGTGGATAGAATGTTGGCCTGCTGACTGAAGGGTCCCAGGTTTGATTCCAGTCAAGGGCATGTAGCTTGGTTGCTGGCACATCCCCAGTGGGGGGGTGTGCAGGAGGCAGTTGATTGATGTTTCTCTCTCATCGATGTTTCTAACACTCTATCCCTTTCACTTCCTCTCTGTAAAAAAAAATAAATAAATAAAAAATAAAATAAAATAAAATAAAAATGGATTAAAGACCTATAAGATCTGAGACAATAAGTTACATCAAAAAAAAAAATTTAGGTACCAAATTTGTGGACCTGGGTTTTAAAGAACATTTTTATGAACTTGTCGTAAAAGGCAAGGAAAGTAAAGACAACAATAAATGAATGGGGCTGTATCAAACTAAAAAGCTACTGCATAGAAAAAAACAAAGAAAGAAAAAATAACTGACAACAACAAAACCAACAGGCAGCCAACCAGATAGGTCTTATCATATCCTATTATAAGATATAATATGATATTTGCAAATAGTAGCTCCAACAAGGGTTTAATTTATTTTTATTTTCTTTCTTTAAAAAATATATTGATTTTTTTTTTACAGAGAGGAAGGGAGAGAAATACAGAGTTAGAAACACTGATGAGAGAGAAACATCTACCAGCTGCCTTTTGCAAGGGTTTAATTTCTAAAACATATAAAGAACTCATAAGACTCAATACCAAATAAACAACCCAATCAAAAAGTGAGCAGAGCAGCTATAAAAACACATCTCCCAAGAAGACATACAAACAGCCAATAGACATATAAAAGATGCTCATTCTGGCTGGAAATTAGGGAAATACAAATCAAAGCTACAATGGGATACCACTTCATACCTGTTTGAGTGGCCATTATATATAAGACAAGCAATAATAAGTGTTGGAGAGGTTGTGGAGAAAAGTGAACTCTAATTCACTTCTGGTGGTAATGTAACCTGGTACATTCACTATGGAAAGCAGTCTGGTGATAGTGTATCTAATACTTTTCCTTTTCCCTTTTAAAAAGATTTGGTTCCATCTCTCATCTCACCAGAGCTTATTACAAACCTTTCTCTTTTTTTATTTATTAAATCTTTATTGTTCAGATTATTATAATCATTTCTCCTTTTTTTTCCCACCATAGCTCCCCTCAACCTGGTTCCCACCCCACCCTCTGCCCTTACCTCTTCCCCGACTGTCCTCATCCATAGGTGTACGATTTTTGTCAAGTCTCTTCCTGCACCCCCCCATATACCTTTTCCCCTGAGAATTTTCACTCCACTCTCATTCTATGACAATGATTCTATTATATTCACCAGTTTATTCTATTCCTCAGATGTTTAATTCACTAGATTTTAGGTCCACTTGTTGGCAGATATGTATATGTTGTTCATAATTTTTATCTTTATCTTTTTCTTCTTCTTTCTCTTCTTTAAGAATACCTTTCAGCATTTCACATAATACTGGTTTGGTGGTGATGAAATCCTTTAGCTTTTTCTTGACTGTGAAGCTCTTTATCTAACCTTCAATTCTGAATGATAACTTTGCTGGACAGAGTAATCTTGGTTGTAGGTTCTTGCTATTCATCACTTTGAATATTTCTTGCCACTCCTGTCTGGCCAGCATAGTTTCTGTTGAGAAATCAGCTGACAATCATATGGTGCTCCATTATAGGTAATTAACTGTTTTTCTCTTGCTGCTTTTAAAATTCTCTCTTTGTATTTTGCTCTTGGCATTTTAATTATGATGTGTCTTGGTGTGGTCCTCTTTGGATTCCTTTTGTTTGGGGTTCTGTGTGCTTCCTGGACTTGTAAGTCTATATCTTTCACCAGGTGGGTGATGTTTTCAGTCATTATTTCTTCAAATAAGTTTTCAATATCTTGCTCTCTCCCTTCTTCTGGCACTCCCATTATTTTGATGTTGGTACGCTTAAAGTTGTCCCAGAGGCTTCTTACACTATCTTCAATTTTTTTTAATTCTTTTTTCTTTTTGTTTTCTTGTTGAGTGTTTTTTGCTTCTTTGTATTTCAAATCTTTGACTTTATTCTTGAATTCCTCTAGTCTGCTATTGGGTCTCTGTATAATATATATATTTTTTTATTTCAGTCAATGTATGTTTAATTTCTAGTTGGTCCTTTTTCATATCCTCAAGGGTCTTGCTAAATTTATCGGTATTTTCTAGGAAATTCTTGAAAAACCTTACAACCATAATTTTGAATTCTATATCCAGTCTTTTGTTCTCCTCCATTTCTTTCATTTGTGATCTGTTTCTTTGTCTCTGCATTTTCACTGTTTCCTTGAGTTGGTAGGGTAGCTTTATGTGCTAGATTTCCTATATGGCCCAATAGGTCAGCCTCACCAGTTACCTGAGGTGGACACTCTTGTTGCACCCCTTTGTGGACTGTGTGTACAGCCTTGTTGTAGTTAAATCTTGATGATTGTTAGTATCACTGGGAGAAATTGACCTCCAGGCCAATTGGCTATGAGTATCAGCTTGGTCTATGCCAGGAGACCTTCTGTGCTGGAGACAGCCTTATAGGACCAGACTTGCAAAATTGGAAAAGCCTCTGTGCTCAGTTTGGATGGGGCAGACTCTCAGGGCTGAGCATGCAGTATTGGCTTCTGGTCAGCCCTGCCCTTGCACACACACCTCCAGACCTCTGCCTTCTGCGCCTCCCCTGAGTTTCTGGCTTGCAGTCCAGATTCCTCCCGTAAGAGCAAGGGCTCACCAGGAACTTGGGTTCAGTGAAATTAGAACTGGGTTACAGTGCAGTTAGGAGCTTCCGACTCTTTTGTGCTAGAGAAAGCCAGTGGCAACATCTGCAGTCAGTCTTCTTTGCATGCACTCATGAGTGCGTGCCTCCAGACCCCTGCCCGTCATGGCTCCTCTGAGTCTCTGTGTACCCCTCGCTCTGACAGTCCAGACTACCTCCATATGAGCCTGCATCCACAGGGTTTTGGCCGGAACTGGGGTTCAGTCCAGTTGGAAGTGGGCTTCAGTGCAGTTGGGGGCTTCCTTCCCCCTCCCACCAGCAAAAGCCAGCCAGGCACTCAGCTGCCCTTCCCCTCTGTGTGCATGTCTCCGTACCTCAGCCCTTTGCAGCTCCTCTAATTCTCTGTGAGCTTTTCTCTTTCCTTCTAGTTGTAGAATTTCCACTCAGCCAGCTTTCCTGTAGTTCTGGATGATGTCCATTCTGTCTTTTAGTTGTAGTTTTGAAATTGTTGTTCGAGGCAGGAGTTTAGGTAATTACCTATGCTGCCATCTTGGTTTCCCCCTCTATGATAGCCATTCTGACAGGTATGAGATGGTATTTCATTGTGTTGATTTGCATCTCTCAGATGATTAGTGACTTTGAGAATGTTTTCATATGACTTTTGGCTTTCTGTATGTCCTCTTTCAAAAAGTATCTATTTGGGTCTTTTGCCCATTTTTTTTTATTAGATTGTTTATCTTCCTTTTTAAAAAAATATATTTTATTGATTTCTTACAGAGAGGAAGGGAGAGAGATAGAGAGCTAGAAACGTCGATGAGAGAGAAACATTGACCAGCTGCCTCTTGCACACCTCCTACCAGGGATGTGCCCACAACCAATGTACATGCCCTTGACCAGAATCGAACCTGGGACCTTTCAGTCTGCAGACCAAAGCTCTACCACTGAGCCAAACCGGTTTCGGCTATCTTCCTTTTTTTAAGCTGTATGAGTTCCCTTTAAATTTTGGAGATTAAACCATTAACAGAGATAACATTGTCATATATGTTCTCCCATCTAATGGTCTCTCCTCTTGTTTCATTGATAGTTTCTTTTGCTCTATAGGAGCCTTAGTGCATATTTTACATGAAACAAAATATTTAGGTTAAATAGTTTTATTGAAAATGATGTAATTATTAATTTGAAAATATTTTAGTATTGTTAGTTATTTCTCCATGATAACATTGCAACATATTCTGTATGATTATTTTACCAGTAAAAATTGAAGACATTTGATATCCCAAACCCAACATCATTATTCTTTGTAAATGCAATGTGTGGCATCACTAATATGTTTCCTGATGTCACTTGATTCTGTACATTATTACTCAAATATTTTAGAATTTAATTAACAGGCATCTGAAGCTTGTTGAAATTTCACTTATGAAATTGTGATTCTTCTGTATTATGTTCTGGTTTTTCTTACAAAGTATAATGATTTTCGATGTGTTACTATGTTTTTATGTTATTCTGTTGCTTCTAGAAATTATATAAAAGAGAAGTTCAACCTCCTTTCAAACCTGCTTCTGGAAAACCAGATGATACTTTTTGTTTTGATCCTGAATTTACTGCAAAAACACCCAAAGGTAATGCATATTCATGTGTGACATTAGGGCTTTTATTCAATTAGATGCTTAAAAAGTAAACTAGCTTCGTAAGTAAAAACTAAATGAATTATGTTTCCAAAGGGTTGGTTTGTCTCATAGAAATGTGGATTTTACATACAGCTTTGCTTAGGCACCTTTCAAGTACATCCTTTAAATTGGAAATATTTATCAGAGAGGAAGGGAATAGAGTGAAGGATAAAAGGTTTCTTTGCTTTGTTTTAAAAGGTTTTTTTTTTTTTTAATTCTTTATTGCTTAAGGTATCACATATGTGTCCTTATCCCCTCATTACCCCCTAACCCCCCACTTATTCCCTCACCCCACTATCGTCTGGGTCCATTGATTAGGGTGATATGCATGCATACAAGTCCATTAGTTGACCTATCTCCCTTACCCCCACCCTTCTCTCCCTTCTCTCTGAGGTAATGGTAGAAGGTCTGATCGACGTTTCTCTGTCTCTGGATCTGTTTTTGTTCATTAGTTTCTGTTGTTCATTATATTCCATAAATTAGTGAGATCATGTGATATTTATCTTTCTCTGACTGGCTTATTTCACTTAACATAATGCTCTCCACTTCCATCCATGCTGTTGCAAATGCTAAGAACCCCTTCTTTTTTAGTGCAGCATAGTATTCCATTGTGCAGATGTACCACAGTTTTTAATCCACTCATTTGCTAATGTGCACTTAGGCTGTTTCCAAATCAGAGCTATTGTAAACTGTGCTTCTATGAACATAGGGGTGCATATATCCTTTCTGATTGGTGTTTCTAGTTTCTTGGGATATATTCCTTGAAATGGGATCACTGGGTCAAATGGAAGTTCCTTTTTTAGTTTTTTTTTAATGTGTTTGAGAACCCACCAATCCATATTGTTGTACATAATGGCTGCACCAGTCTGCATTCCCACCAGCAGTGCAGGAGGGTTCCTTTTTCTCAGCAACCTCTCAAGCACTTGCCCATTTTGACAGGTATCAGATGGTTGTTTCATTGTCATTTTGATTTGCATATCTCGGATGATTAGTAACTTTGAATGTGGTTTCATATGTCTCTTGGCCTTCCTTCTGTCTTCTTTTAGAAAATACTTAATTAGGTCCATTGCCCATTTTTTGATTGGGTTGTTTATCTTCCTTTTATTAAGCTGTATGTGTTCCCTGTAAATGTTGGAGGTTAAACCCTTATCAGAGATAACATTGACAAGTATTTCTCCCATGCAGTGGGCTTTCTTATTGTTTTGTTGGTGGTTTCTTTTGCTGTGCAGAAGCTTTTTATTTTGATATAGTCCCATTTGTTTATTTTCTCTTTAGTTTCCATTGCCCAAGGAGCAGTATTAGTGAAGAAATTGTTTTGGCATGTCTGATATTTTGCTGTCTGTGAATTCCCCTAGTGTTTTTATGGTTTCATGTTTTATGTTTAAGTCCTTTATCCCTTTTGAATTTAATTTTGTGTATGGTGTAAGTTGGTTGTCTAGTTTCATTTTTGGCATGTATCTGTCCAGTTTTCCCCAACACCATTTATTGAAGAGACTGTCTTGACTCCATTGTATGTTCTTGCTTCCTTTGTCAAATATTAATTGAGCAGAGTGGTTTGGGTTGATTTCTGGGTTCTCTATCCTATTCCTATGGTCTATATGACTGTTACTGTGCCAGTACCAGGCAGTTTTGAGAACAGTGACTTTGTAATACTGCTTGAAATCTGGTATTGAGAACCCACCTACTTTGTTCTTCTTTCTCCGGATTGCTACAGCTATTTGGAAAAGATTTTTTTTATACTAATGTATTAGCAAGACATGGATAGGAGATGATAAGACATGAGATATATCACTTTGACTCTTATAATTTAAAATTTAATGAAGTTTACTTTTGGTGAAATCTATTTTATACACTAACTCAACAAATGTTTGCTACCTACAAATGTCCTCACCAGTGAGGGGGCTGCAGTAAATGAACTGACAAAAATTATAATGTACATGTGGTTTGCATAGTAGTGTGGGGAGACAGATAATAAAAAATAAATAAAATAAATAATATAGTATGTCTGATGGTAACATTTAATGTTTTTGTGGTTTTATTTATATTCAAAGAAATGCTGAGATTTTATATTATAGAAATCTGTATAATTCTAATTAAATATATTTATTTGGATATTAGATTCTCCTGGTTTGCCAGGCAGTGCTAATGCTCATCAACTCTTCAAAGGATTCAGCTTTGTTTCAACTTCTATTGCTGAAGAATATAAAATCACTCCTATCACAAGTGCAGATGTATTACCAATTGTTCAGGTAAATTCCACTTAATCAAATTATTTAGTTTAGGGATAATTATTTATTTCAGTTATTTGTAATTAATTTACAATAATTTAACTTCATTTATTTATGTGTATAATAATGAATTAAAGATTTTTCCATATGTTTTTAAATAAAGTGGACAATAGTAACATTTAATCATATTTATGTAATCTCTTTTGGCAAGAAAATGTAATACTGGTATGTAAACTAGTTTACTTATTGTGTTGTTTTTGGGTATCTAGAAACCCTACAATTTAAGATCAGTTAAGATCTGGTTAAGCCATTTATACATACTGATAAAAATTCTATAATGGATTATTCATAATTTTTTAAAGATTTAGGATGAATAGAGGTTGGTACAAAGGTAGGCTTACAGTTGTGAGTATGTAAAACACAGAGTTTACTTTTGTATTATTATTTATTATTGTACTAGACACCTGATGCACACAATTTGTGCAAGGATAGGCCTTCACCACCCCAGCTGTGGGGACCCTCGCAGCCCCAGCTTCTTCACAGCCTCTTGGCCCTGGCTGTCTCTTTCTGAAAGGTTGTCCAGATGGTTTTTCTGCTGTTGGATCATTTGGTCAATTTGCATATTATGCTTTTATTATTATAGATGATTTTCCATACTAACAATTATAAACCCACTTTTGCCCCATCCTATATAAATTTTGAAGAGAAGACAAAAATGTGAAAATATTTCATTATTCTCAGTATTGTTTTTTTTTTAAAAAAAAAAACAGATAAATGGAAATGCTGCACAATTTGGTGAGGTATATGAGTTGAAAGAAGATATTGGTGTTGGCTCCTATTCTGTTTGCAAGCGATGCATACATACAGTTACCAACATGGAATATGCAGTGAAGGTATTGTCCCTGAGCCTACCTTTTTAGAGGTTATATATGTAACTTAACTAACAGACATTTTTCTGCGGGGCTAGTGGAGATTGCAAAGAAAAAATGAGAAAAACCTCTTAAGACTTGATATTTTCACTTTGAATTTATTTTCAAGACTTTATTTTAGAGAAACATTGTATTCCATGAATATTTTGCTTTTGAATAGTTTAAGGTACTATGTTAAGATTGAGTAATTGTAACAATTACTGTTACATTTGGATCACATTATGAGCTAATGTAGTTTTAACTAAATGGAATATAATGTTAAAGAAAATGGTCTTTTTTTATTGTTGCAGTTATAGGACATTTTTAACTGTTGAAGTTTAATGTGTGGCAAGCATCATTCTTTAGTTTTAAGCATTTTCTGTAAACTATAACCAAATTGAAAATATAACATTAATTTTTAGACAAAGAACATAATTTTTTCCTCTGAGATTTGTCTTGTTTTATTTCTTAGGTTATTGACAAAAGTAAGAGAGACCCCTCAGAAGAAATTGAAATTTTGATGCGCTATGGACAACACCCAAACATTATCACTTTAAAAGATGTAGGTATTTAAAATCTAAGCTAATTCGAAATCTAAGCTAATGAAGTTATGACTTGCCACTTTATTTTCTTTTTGAAGATTTTCATGTCTATGGTAAATTTGCTGTCATGCAACACAATCTGAAGATTCTTACATTTGCAACTTCAATTATTTTCCCCCTATTATTCTGTTTTCTTACCCTTTGTGTAGAGCATCAAAAAGGAACTATGATTTTTTGGTAAATGAGAATGTCCCGATTACTTGAATATATTCTGGCTAGTTAAGTTCTTAACATTACAAACAGCAACATTTATTATTTTTTGATACTATAAATATAGACATTGGAAATCTGCCAAATTCTACATTTTATTTTCTTAACTCTACAAAAATGGGTTATTGCACTGTGGATTATTTTTTAAGTGAAATTGTATTACTCTATAGTTTTGTAAAATGAACATATGTCCTATTAATAGATGTTATTGAGTTTACACTCCCTGGCCAGTGTGTAAAGCCTTTAGGGTTGCAACTGACACAAGGCAAATATACCAGGGCTTGGGTCCCTGATTCACCACAACCTCTAGAGACATGGGTCCTTGTTGCCTCTTTAGTGCCAGAGCTCAGGCTGCAGGCAGCTCTGCAGCAGAGCAACAGAATGTCTGGAATATATGAACTCTTTCCAACTAACTTAGATAATTTTCAGCATTTGGGCAATGTTCCTCATTAATATTAATAAGTGTAATAATCACATCATTTCACTCTGGTGTTAGGGACTCAGCTCTGAAATCTATATAGGAAAAGCACCTGGATCTGAGTCTTTCAATGGTTTTGAGACAATGCCTGGTGGAGGAAGGCGAGGCCAGTGTGTCCTTCCCTGCCATGAACCTGCCATTGGCTCTTGACAGTATGGACTAGGTCCCCATGATGAAGGCTAAAGCCACCTGTGTCTCATGAATTCTCTAATCATAAAACAAACCCAGGGGACCATTTCGCATTTTGAGCAATAGGCAGGGTAGAGAGAGATGCTCGCTACCTACCCTATTATTGCCTTATCACCTAGGAGATCAAGTACCTTCAAGTGGCAGAAGCACTCCACAAACAAACAAAAAAAAACACAAAAAACTACAGAGTGGAGAGATAATGAAAGAAGAGAAGCAGCCAGCCTCAGCCCAGTCCACCCCCAGAAGCAATCCCCAATCTTCTGCTGAGCAGTAGCCTGAAGGTTTGCTCTCTTCTGGCTCTTCCACAGTGTTATCTGGCCCAAATCCTATCACCATGTGCTGGGGTTCTTGTCCCAGCATTACAAAGTTTAGGCAATCTGGAGAAAGGAGCTGTGTATAGATTCAATAAAGGAGTCCAAGGACAAAAGATAGTTTTGAAAGACATTGGGGGTCAGAGGAGCTTCAGCTAAAGGAGCTAAAGACGCCTGCTTTTTATTAACACAATTTATCCTAAGGCAAGGTGGAGATAATTCACTTCAAAGGGTAGGGTTTAAAGGGTAGAATTTACAGAAGCATTGTCAGATTGGGGAATAGCCTACAGCTATTCAGGTGTTTGGCCAATAGGAGTCAATAAAATGTAGATCAAGATGCCCTGAGCTGTCTGGCAGCTAGCAGTCCTATTCAGGTTTTGGGGAAATGCTTTTTAGCTATTCCAACAGATAAATACTTATGTGGCTCAGCCTTGTTGAGCCCCCCAAGTCTCATCAACCTTTCAATGAAACTTGTAATTATGACATGCTGGAGTTGGTTCCTGGCAACCATGGATTCTGGAAGTGGGGATAAAGACAGAAACTGGACAGATAAATGGAGCCTTTTTGGACCAAGGTCCCTCCATAAGTCTAATTTGGGAGGTTTTGGCACCCAGCCCTGCAGTGGAGCCAAAAAACCTTCTCCAATACTACTTATCCACGTGCAGGCTAACCTAATGGTCGAAGCTGCCCAAGATGGTTATCCCACTGATGGAAAGGAAGAAACAACCACAATGGATCCATAATCTTAAACCCCGTAAATAGAATATGCTCACACCCAATAGCTTCTATAGCTTTCTCTTCCAGTGAATCTGGATAGAAGGTGTCTTGCCCCTTCTTCCCTATTACCGTAGTCTGACATAGGAAAGGTTTCTGTTTTTTGGTTTTGTTTGTTTGTGTGGTTTTGATTAAAAATAACTTTTAAACTGAGCCTAGAACTGGAGGTATTACTGTTTTTTTAGAAACTTGCCCTTGTGCAAAGCTTGTCTTATGTGGGAGAAGCCATTGTATATTGCTTCAATTTAAAGTTAGACTAAATAATCTGAGTAGTAATGTATGGAGGCCTCATCAATTTTTTTCATCATTTAGCCTAGACAAGACCTTGATCATTGCTTACAAGGTAGATAACATTTGTATTGTTCCCAAACCAAGGCTTCTTGATGGATAAGTCATGGTGTAGGGATGCTCACTGATTAGTCTCTGGCCCTCTCTACCGCTGGCACCTTGGACTCCAGCCTTGTAAGTGAGGGAAGCTACATTTGTTTGAGATATGAGCACAAAGAAAAGCCAGACTTGGCAGGGACCCATCTCCTTTGTGGAGACTGGTAGAGGCAGTTCTTACTGCCATGCCTCCTGCACAGTTCTGCTGGGTAGTGCTTCTCTTCCATGTGTCAGCAAACACAAGTCTTGCATATCCTTTGTTGCACTTTACAGTAAGATTAAGTTCATTGCATTTTGGTGGAAAACCATTTAAGGGAAAATATTCAACCTACTGCTTTGATGATGATGATAGATAGATAGATAGATAGATAGATAGATAGATAGATAGATAGATGATAAATAGATATAAAGTACTCAGTGTACTTATATTTAAGGGAAAGCTTGCAAATCTTGATATGTCAAGGGACCAGGAGATAGTGGCCTCTGGCAGGTAAGTCCTCTACTTCTTTCTAAATATCCAAAATGCAGTTCTTATACATGGAAAAACCTTATTTTAAAATCTCAACTCTGTGGTCAGTCTACACTGAGTGGCCAGATTATTATGCATTCAGAGATCATAATAACCTGGCGATTCAATGTATATAAATACATGTTAAGCTTTTTAAAAGTACTGATGGTGGAAACTATATGTAGATTATATTCTGGATGTTCATATGAAACAAGTGTCAGCAGAGCCTGAATTTTTTCCTTAAAGGTAGAAGCATGAAAATATTTTTCTAGCAATCATTTTTCCCAAAATTAACCTCATATCTTGTATAAAAATAGAGGTTACTGAGGAAGGAACTTGTAGACAAGTTTGGTCATTGTCCTGAATACTGTATCAAATCCTTGCTATTTGTCCTTTGGAAGGATGTTGTCTGCATAGTCAGCTGAACTGACTTTTTCATAGAGAGGCCCCAGAGTCTCAAATAATGAGAACAATTAATTTATTTATGTTTTTTCTCATGCTCATATATCTTACTTGTTTTGACAATAAAAATCTGTGTTACTTAAAAAATAGATGTTCTTGCCGAAACCGGTTTGGCTCAGTGGATAGAGCCTCTGCCTGGGGACTGAAGGGTCCTGGGTTCGATTCTGGTCAAGGGCATGTACCTTGGTTGCAGGCACATCCCCAGTGGGAGGTGTGCAGGAGGCAGCTGGTCAATGTTTCTCTCTCATCGACGTTTCTAGCTTTCTATCCCTCTTCTTTCCTCTCTGTAAAAATCAATAAAATATATATTTTTAAAAATAGATGTTCTTAAATGATGACTTTTCACATAAAATAATGCTATTTTCTCTTTAGAGAAGGTAGACAAATCAGCTATCACCTAGATCAGTTTGTTTTGGATAATAAGATATGCATTTTGATTAATATTTTTAAATAGTACTTTATATCTATCTATCTATGATCAACTATCTAATCTATCTATGTCACAAGCCCTAAATAAAAGGGCACACTTATTTTTCCAATTATTTTCCTTGATATAGTATTTAAATTCAACAAACATTTAATACACCATATCAAATAATGGACCGTGGGCAGGATATTAAAAACTAATAATATATTTACTGCCAAAAGGAAGCTAACTATTAGTAGGAAAGAGAAGTGTCTATAACACAGTAATAAATGAGATAGATTCCATTTGAGAGGTACAGAGTTCTATTTTTTCATTTATATCCTTTGATGAAGTGTACCATACTACCCAAAAAGTTAATGAAATTATATGTTTAACATGATCTCAGGGGACTGTTTAGCCAATTTAATCTTCATTACTACATTGGCAATGAAGAAATATATATTTTTAACATTATAGGTTCACTAGAAAAGCAAAGTAAATGTAAGTTAAACATTTAAGAATTAAAATTATATATAATAACATTTTTAAATGTTTTTTTTTTAGGTTTATGATGATGGTAGATATGTTTACCTTGTTACGGATTTGATGAAAGGAGGAGAACTACTTGACCGAATTCTCAAACAAAAATGTTTCTCGGAAAAGGAAGCTAGTGATGTACTGTTTGTAATAACTAAAACAGTTGACTACCTTCATCATCAAGGAGTAAGTTGTATTAAAAGTTATATTCTTTCCTTCAGTTCTGTGACTTGTATATTCATAAAAATTATATGTAGGGTATACCACTTAAAGTGAATTACTTTTTTATAGAGAATATATATTTTATAGAGAACATACTAATCCTATATAATAAAAGAGTAATATGCAAATTGACCTTCACTCCAACACAAGATGGCCACCCCCATGTGGATACAAGATGACCAGCAGGGGAGTGCAGTTGTGGGCAATCAAGCCAGGAGGGAGGGTTGTTGGGAGGGACCTGGCTTTCACGAGAGGGCAGTTAGGGGTGACCAGGCTGGCAGAGGAGGGCAGTTGGGGGTGACCACACCTGCAGGAGAGGACAGTTGTGGGAGGACCAGGCTTGCAGGGAATAATAGTTGGGAGGGACCAGGCCAGCAGGGGAGGGCAGTTAGGGGTGACTAGACCATCAGGGAAGGGCAGTTAGGCATTGATCAAGCTGACAGGGGAGTGGTTACGGGGTGATCAGGCTGGCAGGCAGAAGTGGTTCAGGACAATCAGGCAGGCAGGCAGGTGAGCAGTTGGAAGCCAGAAGTCCTGGATTGTGAGATGGATGTTTCTCATGGGGTTTCAGATTGGAGAAGGTTCAGGCTTGGCTGAGGGACAGACACACACCCCCGTGCATGAATTTCATGCACTGGGCCTTCAGTAATACTCATAAAATAGTGAAGGTTATAAAATTAGGAAGTTAGAAAATGTTATCATTTTGTTCACTCTGCCTGTTGACCCTAATTTAGCAGCATATTAGTTTTAAAAGTGGTTTGGGTTATGTAATTGAATCTAACCTTGACTTTGAAATTATTAAACCTAATCAAATTTTTATTTTTATTGATTTTAGAGAGAAAGGGAGAGGGAGAGAGATAGAAACATCAATGATGAGAGAAAACCTTTGATTGGTTACCTCATGCCTACACCCATTGGTGATTGAGCCCACAACGCAGGCCTGTGTACTGTCCAGAAATTGAACCATTACTTCTTGGTTTATAGTTTGACACTCAACCATTGAGCAACACTGGTCAACCAAACCTAATCAAATTTAAAAGTGAAACATAAAAGGATTATCCAAGGACATGTGAATATTACTCGTATTAATGCTATACCTAACATATAAAGTTCTGGCAATAAAAGGACTATATATGTTGATTCTTGACAAACCCTCCTCCAAATACAGTAAGAAATTTAAACTATAAATATTTAAAATGTTAATCTATTAAAGTTTGTAGTAGTGGAGCAGGTCTGATATTTTGCTACCTACCTGTTCATAAAGAAAGCAAATGCTACCAAAAAAGATCAACTCTTATAATGTACAACTCTGGAAGGAAACATTGTCACAAATTTAAAAATTTAGTCTGAATCAGATGTAATAGTAGATATGAATGCACATAAGTATAAACAATAAATTAATTATCAACTCAGAATTGGCACAGTGAAAACTCTACATGGTCCCCTTTTATAAATAAGAAAAATAAGCAAGTACTCAGTTTTGTGTCTGGTTTAATGTACTACATTTTTCAATTTTATAAAATATATATGGCTATTATAATTTAATTGCTTGGCCGAAACCAATTTGGCTCAGTGGATAGAGCGTCAGCCTGTGGACTGAAAGGTCCCAGGTTTGATTCCAGTCAAGAGCATGAACCTGGGTTCCGGACACATCCCCAGTGGGAGGTGTGCAAGAGGACACTGATTGATGATTCTCTCTCATTGATGTTTCTAACTCTCTATCTCTCTCCTTTCCTCTCTGTAAAAAATCAATAAAGTATATATATTTAAAAAAAGAATTGCTTGATTGTTTTTATCAACACTCTAAAATAAAGGATGACCAGCTATTTTGAGAAGAGGAAAATTATAAACAGCTTTTCTTTTTTATTTATTTTTATTTAAATAATACATTTTTTATTTAAATTTATTGGGGGTGCTGAAACCAGTTTGGCTCAGTGGATAGAGAGTCAGACCCTTCTGTTCAAGGTTCAATTTTGGTCAAGGGCATGTACCTTGGTTGCGGGCACGTCCCCAGTAGTGGGTGTGCAAGAGGCAGCTGATCGATGTTTCTCTCTCATTGATGTTTCTAACTCTATTCCTCTCTCTTCCTCTCTGAAAAATCAATAAAATATATTTTTTTTAAAAATTTATTGAGGGTAACATTGGTTAATAAGATCATATAAGTTTCAAGAATACATTTCTGTGAAACATGATGTGTATTTTACAAGGGCACCAAATATATGGTGAGGGAAGATTATTTGACTTTGGGTGGTGGGCATACTAAGCACCTTTACTTTAGCATATTATTTTAGAAACCTTCAGTTTCTTACATCAATTAAATAAATTAATGTCAGAGATGTATTTAGCATTTCTATATGCCATGCATTATAAAAGTATTACAGATTCAAATATGAGAAAGACTTGGTCCTTGCCTTTAAATATCTTTCAGTGTAATGAACTGCTGGTTAAGATAGAACTAGATTAAATGAAATGGATAATAATCAGTAAGAAATTTATAATGTAGAGAATTTCAGAATATTTTGTATTTCTAGCATTTTATTTTATTTTCTGCTTCTACATTTCTTTTTTAAAATATATTTTATTGATTTTTTTACTGAGAGGAAAGGAGAGGGATAGAGAGTTAGAAACATCAATGAGAGAGAATCATCAATCAGTGTCCTCTTGCACACCTCCCACTGGGGATGTGTCCGGAACCCAGGTTCATGCTCTTGACTGGAATCGATCCTGGGACCCTTTAGTCCGCAGACCGACGCTCTATCCACTGAGCCAAACCAGTTAGGCTGCTTCTACATTTCTGCTGATAGTTTAATGTATCAAAAGCATGTTTTCTTTTACTTTATTGAGATAGTTATAATAAACACTTTATTTTTTAAATGTCTTAAAGTCTTGTGAATTTTGAATAATACATTTTTATTGAGATATAATTCACATATAACATTGTTTAAGTTTTACAAAATTTATGCATTTACATGCTGCAATATCATTACAACCCTAGCTTTAACTAGCACCTCCATCATATTATTTAAAAAATTGTCTGTATAGTCACCACCCCAAGTAATACAATATACAGATGATATATTATAGAATTGTACTAGAGGCCAGGTGCATGAATTTGTGCACAAGTGGGATCCAGCTGGTCCACCCCAATAGGGACCCATTGGGCCAGGCTGGTGGAGGAGGAGGATGGCCATGGTTGGCTAGGGGGAGGGGCCGAAGGTGGTTGTCTGGTGGGCCCTGACCCTGATTGAGGTGTTGGGGGCCAATTGGAGGCCAGGCTGGATTTGGGCTGGATCAGGCTGGTTGGCTGCATGTCATAGCCACTGGTCGTTCTGGTCATTCTGGTCATGCTGCCATTCATTCCAGTTGCTTGGATTTTAGATATATAGATACCTAAAGCCTGTATAATTTTATTAAGCAATGTCACTCTAATGCAACAAACTGATGAATCTCAGAGGGAAGGATGGGGCAGAAAGAAATTAACCAAAGAACAAACATGCATATATGCATAACCCATGGACACAGACAATAGTGTGCTGAATGTCTGGGCAGGTGGGAATGGAGAATAGGGCGTCAATGGGGGAAAAAAGAGGATATCTGTATACTTTCAATAATAAAAATCAATTTAAAAATAAAAAATAAGTTAATTTCTTGACTTTTAGTTCCAATGTGGTTCATCATGAATTTAGAATTGATTGACTTTCTTTTTTTCTTGAAACTATGCTCTATTTTCGTGTGTGTGTGTGTGTGTGTGTGTGTGTGTGTGTGTGTGATTGTGTGTGTTTTGTTTTTGTTTTGTTGGGGTATTTTTTTTGTATGTCACATAATTTTGGATTGTATATTGCACATTATAATATTAAATTTTGGAGATTTTTTTTATTCTGTTACTTTTCTCCAATAATTATTATTGATTTTCATTATTATTTTGTTTTAGTGGATAATTCTCTTGGTATTGTTTGCACAGAAAATTCTGCTTTTGGGGCAGCAACTTTGGTCTCTGTCTTTCATATTAATATAAACTACTTTGAGCATCTTCTACACATTTGAACATTTTTATTGAATTTATTGGATGACATTAGTTAATAAAATTATGCAGGTTTCAGGTGCACAACTCTATAATGCATCATCTGTATATTGCATCATGTGTTGCCCCCCCCAAATCAAGTCTTTTCCCATCACCATTTAACCCCCATTTACCCTCTTTTACTTCCCCTCACTCCTCTTCTACACATTGTTGATTCAGGGGCAATTTTTATTTATTGACAAGAGGGAGGGAGGGAAAGAGAGAGAGAGAGAGAGAGAGATTATTATATGTGCCCTGACTGGGGATTGAACCTGCAACCTTAGTGTATCAGTATGACATTTTAACCAACTGAGCTATTTGGCCAGAGCTCAGGGATAGTTTTGACTTTTTAATTTACAGTATCCCTCCACTCAGCATTAAAGGTTTCCCAGCATCTCTTTTCTGGTCTTCCAGGCCAGAAATACTTGGGCTTTTCCACGTGTATCTTCACCATCACTGTGTGACAAAGGAACTGTACTTTCCCCTTGCCTAAAAGCCATTCATATAGTTCCCTGTATTCCTTCCTCAGCCAACTGTGTACTCCTCACCAGAGCCTATCTGCTTCTCTTCACTCCCCAGTACCTCCTGGTAGTTCATTTTTTTTATAATGATCAGGTTTTATAGTTGTTTACTGTAGGTAGGGGCATAGTAGATAGGGTCTTATAAACAGAAGTGGAACTGATAATTGATTTTTGATAATTTGAGATTGGAAGTTATTAACAAAACTGGTGGTTTGAATAGAAAGCAGAACATCTATCTGATAGAGATTATTTTCTCTGTGTACTTTCAAGATTATAAAGGTAGGACAAAGTATCATTTTCAGTATTTTATGATTAAAAAGTTATTTTCCTAGAAATGTGTTAACATAAAATCTTTCATTTCACGGATATTTATTTAGCTGTAGAAATATAATATTTTTTCTTTTTTGTTCAAGATTGTTCATCGTGATCTGAAACCTAGTAATATTTTATACATGGATGAATCAGCCAATGCAGAGTCTATTAGGATCTGTGATTTTGGGTTTGCAAAGCAACTTCGAGGAGAAAATGGGCTTCTACTAACTCCATGCTACACTGCAAATTTTGTAGCACCTGAGGTATTCATTAAAACTTCAATATTTGTTTTTCACTCTTTCCTTTAGTTGAATGCATATAATGGCATGTATATGTTATGGTTGGTAGTAAAATCTGAGTTATCCATTCTCAACAATAAAGCTATTTGAATCAGTGAATTCTGATAGCCCCTTAGTATAAATATTCAGACTAAGAATTAGCACCTGAAACCAACTTAAATCAACTTGAATGTAATAATTAGACTTTTATTTTCCTGGATAATGTACTAGTTTAAGAATTTACCCTTTTACAAATTGGAAGGGAAAGTAGAGATAACTCTACTTCAATATATTAAATGTTATAAATGAGGAAACTGAGGCTTAAAGTACCTAAATAACATTTTCAAGACCCAGCACTCAGTAACAAAGTCAAGATAGGTTTTCAGATATTTTGAGTTGTGTTGAACATGAAGTAATTTATACTATTTAGCATTACACATAACATATAAAGGCAGTGCCATCCCTGATTCTTTTTAGGATCTTTGAATTCTTGGAGAAAACAGCTTCACGTGGGTTTTAAAGTGGTCAAGTTTTTCTTGGCAAATAGCATTCATACATAGATCTTGGAGGGAAGAGTCAGGGAAGGTGAGGTTGCAGTGGTTCTGACAAAGGAGGCAAAAACATAAATGGGGTTAAGATAATCCATTCAGTAGTATTGGGAAAATTGGACAGATGTATGTAAAAAAATGAAACTGGACCACCTTTGTACACCATACTCAAGAATGAACTCAAAATAGATTAAATACTTAAATACAAATTGAGAAACCATAAAAATTCTAGAAGAAAATATAAGTAGTAAAATCTCAGACATTTCCTGTAGCAACATTTTTTTTCTGATATTTCCCCTCGGGTATGGAAAACAAAAGGAAAAATTAAGAGATGGGACCAAATCAAACAAAAACATTTTTGCACAGCAAATGAAACCATCAACAAAATTAAAAGACAACTCACTGAATGGGAGAACATATTTGACACTGAATAAGGGGTTAATATATAATACAAAATTTATAAAGAACTTATAAAATAACACCAAAAAAAAGCAAAGAATCGAATTAAAAATTGGGCAAAGGATCTGAATAGACACTTCTCCAAAGCAGACATATAGATGGCCAATAGACATGAAAAGATGCTTAATGTCACTAATCACCAGAGAGATACAAATTAAAACCTCAATGAGATATCAGCTCACACTTGTTAGAATGGCTATCATCAATAAATCAAAAAACAAGTGCTAATGAGGATGTGGAGAAAAGGGAACACTCACGGATTGTTGGTATGAATGCAGATTGATGAAACCCCTGTGTAAAGCCATGTGGAGTTAACTCAAAAAATTAAAAATGTAACTGTCTTATGACCCATTGATTCCACTTATGGGAATTTATCTGAAGAAATCTAAAACACAAATTTGAAGAAATATATGCACCCCTATGTTCACTGTAGCATCATTAACAATTCTAAGATTTGGGAGCAGCTCAACTGCCCATCAGTAGATGAATGAATAAAATAGCTATGGTATATTGACACAATAGAATACTACTTGGTCATTAAAAAAAAAAAATCTTATCCTTTGTGACAGCATGGATAGACCTGGAGAGTATTATGCTAAGTGAAATAAGCCAGTCAGAGCAAGACAAATGCCATATTATTTCACTCACATGTGGAATTTGTTGAACAAAATAAGCTGAAATAGAACCAGACTGGTTAATACCAAGAACATGTTGACAGCTGTCAGATGGGAGGGTGGTTGAGAGGCTGTTAAGCAGAAAAGAAAAACTCACAAATACAGACAACAGTATGATAATTACCATAGGGAAAGGGGTGAAGTGAGGTACAAAAGGATAAAGGGAGATAAATGAAGATGGAAGGAGACTTGACTTGGATTGGAGATCTGACTTGTGGTGGTGAAACACAATGCAATATACAGATGATATACTGTAGAATTGTATACCTGAAACCTATATAAACTTATTAACCAATGTCACACCAATAAATTCAATAAAAAATTTAAAATGCTTTGAAAAGTTTTATTACCAAGTGATGAAGCCTCTTGTACCAATCAATGAATATATGTTAATTTTTATTCATGAGGTTTTCTGTTAGATTTCTTCCTGAAATTTCAGACTTTTTAAAAAAAGTACAATTTTTTTATTGTCTAAAGTTTTATATATGTCTCCTTTCCCCCCAATTGACTCTCCCCCCAGCCATTCCCACCCAAGGCAAGCCCCCAGCACCCCAGGATCTGTGTCCATTGTTTATGCTAACATGCATGCATGCAAGTCCTTTGGTTGCTCTCTATTCCCCCTCCCCTGCCATTTGTCTCTAGATCAATCTATTCTTGTTCATCAAATTATGTTGATTATTATATCCCATATATAAGTGAAATCATGTGATATTTATCTTTCTCCGACTGGCTTATTTTGCTTAGACACAATGCTGTCCAGTTCCATCCATGCTGTTGCAAATGGTAAAAGTTCCTTCTTTTTAATAGCCATGGTAGATCTATACAATGAAATACTACGCCACTATTAAAAAGACATTTCAGACACAAAAAAAATTAGTAATGATGTATAGGAAATGAATTATTTTTTAAACTAAAATTGGAAATATCCAAGTACCTATGCAGATATTTGAATATAGTTGCATTATGGGGGTATAAATTCATTACTTCATTATAGTGCCTAAAGAGTCATTTTTCTCTAACATAAGATAACTAGAGGTCTGGTGCACAAAATTTGTGCACCAGGTGGATGGAGGAGGTTGCTCATCCCGCCCTGCACCCTCTCCAATCCAGACCCCCTTGGGGGATGTCCAACTGCTGGTTTAGGCCCCATCCCAGGGATTAGGCCTAAACCAGCAGTCAAACATCCCTCTCGAAATCCGGAACCACTGGCTCCTAACTACTCACCTGCCTGCCTTTATTATTGCCCCTAGCCATTCTACTTGCCTGCCTGATTGTCCCTAATCACTTGCCTGCCTGCCTGATCACCCCTAACTGCCTCTGCTTGCTGGCCTATTATCCCCTTAACTGCCCCCATGCCGGCCTAGTTGCCCCCTACCTGACTCCCTGCTGACCTTACCAGCCTCTAACTGCTTCCTTGTTGTCCTGGCCACCATCTAACTGCTCCCCTGCCAGCCTGGCCACCCCCTAATTACCCTCTAGCCAGCCTGATAGCCCCTTAACTACCCCCCCCCCTGCTGGCTTTATCACCCCTAACAGCCTCTACCTCAGCCCCCACCACCATGACTTCCTCCAGAAGGAAGTCAGATGTCCAGAAGATGTCCAGTTGACCCAATCTAATTAGCATATTATCCTTTTATTAATATAGATTAGTATGGATTATAGCCCTGGCTGGGTAGTTCAGTTGGTTAGAGCATCATCCCATTACACCAAGGTTGCTGGTTAGATCTCTGATCAGGGCACATACAAGAATCAACCAATGAATGCATAAATAAGCAGAACAACAAATCATTCTTTCTTTCTCTCCCTGTCTCTGCATCTCTCTCCCTCCCTCACCCTCCTCTCTCTCTTTCTCCCTCCCCCTTCCCTTTCTCTTTCTCTCCTTCCATCCCTCTCTCTCTCCTACCCCACTCACTTTCTCTTTCTCTCTAAAATCAATAAATAGAAATTTTAAAATAAACTGATTACAATTTCAACTTAACAAGAAGTTAATAATATTTATTCACTTTTTATGTGTATTAATTCAATCAACTTCTTAAGATTTATATAGTAGATATGTTTTTCTACTATACCTATGTCACAAAAGTTAATATCTCTCTAAAATATTTTATTTTATAAATGTAAATCTGTAATAGTATTCAGCTGATATTTAATGTCTCCTGATACATAAGAATAATCCTAAATTTAAAGAACTTAAATAAATTGGTTGGATGTTGTTATTGCAGCTCTTTATAAAAAAAAAATGAGTATGAGTTTACTCTGCATTATTCTGCTCTAGGCTGGATGTTTTGCTCCAAATATGAATTAAGTTTAACAAAAGGAATGAAAATCTATGGGATACCAAATGAGAAAAAAGGCAATGGCATTAAATATTTTACTTCTGACATCTATATTCTTGTATTTAACTTGATGAAAGTAGGAAAGTATTAAACACATATTCTGCATTGTACTCTTTCATTCATCCCACTACCTTGCCTTGTTTTTTATGGCTATATATTCTTAATATTATAGAGCTTTGTGACCCACTCTAGAGGAAAAGTGGACTGCACCTCTTTGCTCATACAAAATGAGTTTAAGTGTGTGATAAAGGTGTAAAACAAGGTTTCCTTGGTTGATGATAATTAGATTAAGCACTATCACGTCTCCTGTGCCCTTTTTCTCATTAACTAGGAAGGAAATGGGTGTGTGAAATCAATATAGCTGACTCAATGAGTAACCCTCACCTATCCAGCAAGTTCCTGGCAGCAAATTGGAACAGTTAAAAAATACTCTACTATCCCTGACTGAGCATTGTCCTGTTACATCAAGGTTATAAGGTTGTGGGTTCAATCCCTGATCAGCACACATACAAGAATCAACCAATAAGTGGAACAACAAATTGATGCTTTTCTCTCTTCCTTTCTCTCTCTCTCTTTTTCTGTCTATAAATAAATTAAAGTTTAAAAGGGGGTTTTAAAAATATTGTCATAAGAAAACCACAGAAAACATGATGGTGATGTCCGGAACCATAAGAATTTATGAGAAAAAGAAATGAAATAGATGATGGGGGATGGGAAAGCAGGAGAGGTTTAAAATTTTACTAAAGGATGCCAACTTTGGTTTACCATGCTTTGAATAGTGTAACTGTACCTCATTATTTATTAAGGGCTTTTGTAGTCCCTATGTGCATTATTTACATAAGCCAGTTATAGAAGTATTTGATAGCTTCTCCAGCTTATCGAGTTTGCACATATGTGTGTTCTTATAAATCCAATTTAAATTGAAAAAAAATATATATCTTGAACTTTAAGTTAGTTGTTCATTATTCGTGTCTGGCAATTGCAAAGCCAAACATTAATGTATAGAGCCTCTTATAAATGAAATGTTGAATCTGGTGCTTAAACAGCCTACTGTTTCTGTTTTGTTCCCGTGCCTAAAGGTTGTAGCAGTGGACTTATTTTTCTGAATAAGAAAGCTTCATTTCATCTATTTTCTAACTAACTTTATTAACCTCATGGTGAGAACTCACATTAATACATAATGAATATATCATTGATTTTTATTAACACTAGTGCTGAGAGCAAAAAACAGCTACCTAAATTATTGTATGAAAAGTTAATGAAACCATTTAGAATTTATCAAATGTTTATTTGTAATCCAGAAATATACTGATATTTTCAAGACATAAGCTTTGTATATAAAACAAATATTAATCTTTCTTTTATAAGATCATATATTATCTTACCATCTCCTATGTAGCAAGGAGGCAGTTACAGATAAAAGCACAAGCTCTAGAGTAAGTATACCTCCTCCACTACTTACCAGTTTTGTGGTACTGGGCAAATTACTGAACATTTGCCTCAGTTTTTTTCATCTTCAAAATAGAAATAATATCTTCCTTAGAGAGTCAGTGTCAGGATTAAAGACAGTACTGTGTATAACATGTGTTAAACTTTTTGTACATATTAATCTTAAATTTTGATGTCTGTATTTTTTTTTCTAAGAGGAGAAGTGAAAATTAATATTTTACAAGGTTGTTTTTTGTATGATCCATGTTACTCACTTTATTAATAGCCATTTATTCCATACTTGCTAATAGCAGAAGTTTTGCCTTTAACATTACATGAATCTATTTTTTTAAAATAATCTAAGTGTTTAAATTGTGAACATTTGTAAGATTATTAGAAGCTCAACTTTCATTCAGATGAGATAAAGGAATTTATACTGGGTAATACCATATAATTATTTCTTTCTCAGGTTCTTACGCAACAGGGATACGATGCTGCTTGTGATATTTGGAGTCTTGGAGTCCTTTTTTACACAATGTTGGCTGGGTAAGAAACCTTATATATTCAAAATAATTCACATCATTATTTGAATTTCACCTGTATATTTTCATCTAGAAAGAGGACAGATGAAAATAACCTTAATAAGTCTATTAACATTTCAAAATATTGTACACTAATGGCCCGGTGCACGAAATTCATGCGGGAAGGGGGGTCCCTCAGTCTGACCTGCACCCTCTCCAATCTGGGATGCCTCTCACAATCCAGAACCACTGGCTTCTAAGTGCTCACCTGCCTGCCTAATACCCCTAACTGCTCTCCCCTCCTGGCTTGATCCCCTTAACTGCCTAACTGCTCTCCCTTGCCGGCCTGATCCCCCAATGGCTCTCCCCTCCTTATCTGATCCTCCTAACTGCCTGTCTGCACTCTTCACCTGGACTGATCCCATTAACTGCCTACCGTATCTGTTCTCCCCTCCTGTCCTAAACCCCTTAACTGCCTCTGTGCTCTCCCTTCCTCTATGTGCCTTCAGACCCTAGCACAGGAATGCTGAGAGCTTTTGGAGGCTGTGGAGCCAGGGCCCATCCTGACACCCCCCTCCAGTCTGGGCAGTGCTGCTGCGGAGGCCGCCCTGGCCTATCCTGATGCCCCCTCTGGGCTGGGTGGTGCTGCAGGCCTGCACACGCTTCCACCAGGGGGGTTGCCCTCTGTGGCAGCCTTATGTCCCCTGGTGAAAGTCCCTGCCCTCCAGCTCCTGTGCACACTCAGCCTGGTTATGACTGTGACACTGTTAGGACCAATTAGCATGTTACCTCTCTATTATATAAATTGTTTTCTTATAAAATTGGAAAAAAAAAACATAAAGATGTTTAATGAGGCAATATTCATATATATGATTTTTAAAGTTTTCAATTGATATTGAATTATTATTTAAGATATAATTTTATTTTTTTAATCCTCACCTGAAGATATTTTTCCATTGATTTTTAGAGATAATGGAAGAGAGAGGGAAAGACAGAGAAAAAAATCAATATGAGAGAAACAAATCGATTGGTTGTCTCCTGCACACGCCCCAACCAGGGTGGGGCTGAGAGGAGCCTGAAACCCAAGTATGTGCCCTTGACCACAATCCTTATAGAAGGAACCCCCACTGAGCGAAACTGCCTACTGTTTGAATTGATTTTTTTAAAGTACTTGAATTCTGGCTCTCCTGCCACTAGAGATTTGATAGATTGAGCTTTATAACAAATCTAAATAGTAACAGAATGATAAATTACAGAAACACACAGTTACCTTCTCTTGAAAGGATAAAATACTACTAAAAAAAGTAATAAATCGATTATATTAATGTTAGTAATTTACATCTTGTTTTACTCTTAATATTTTTATTTAGGAGTAAAATTTTATGGCTGTAAAAAAAGGCTGGATTTTTTAAAAAAATCATTCATAAGAATTTGAAGAATTATAATAAAATTATAATGTATTTAGGTTCAACTTTTCAGAGAAGGCATTTAGTATAATTAAAATATGCTTGATATAACAAGAGTTATACATATGAAATCTTCACACAATTATTTATTGGCTTGGTGATCATATGTATATCAGTGTATTCTACATACTTTTATTATTTTTTTAGAATCTTTTTATTGATTTCAGAGAGGAAGATAGAGGGAGAGAGATAAAAACATCAAAGATGAGAGGGAAACATTGACTGATTGCCTCCTGCACATCCAACACTGAGGTTCTAGCCCACAACCTGGGCATGTGCCCTAACCTGGAATTGAACCATGACCTCCTGGCTTATAAGTTGAGGCTCTACCACTCAACCATGATGGCTAGGCTCCACAGACTTTTAGATATATTATAAAATTTTGCAAAATATTTAGCTATATCCCAAAGTAAGTGCTAAAGTTATGAATAGCTAAAGTTTTCACATGAAACAAGGGATACCATTTTTGGATTGCTGTTTCAAATATTTATGACTAAACAAAAAATGAATGTTAGTGTATATATGTGTGTTTAGTGTTATATCAACTTTAGTTTTGTTTCCTTTGTTGTTGTTTTTAAAATTGATTTTTATTGATTTTTTACAGAGAGGAAGGGAGAGATTTAGAGAGTTAGAAACATCGATGAGAGAGAGTCATCGATCAGCTGCCTCTTGCACACCCCCACTGGTGATATGCCTGCAACCAAGGTACATGCCCTTGACCGGAATCGAACCCAGGACCCTTCAGTCCCCAAGCCGATGCTCTATCCATTGAGCCAAACCGGTTTCGGCAACTTTAGTTATTACATGAGGAATTAAGACATTAACATGTGAAGACATATTCTCATACTTTTTAACAGTAAGACTTTTCACTTCTAAATTTGAATACCAATTTTAGATCCATCTGTTAAAATGGTACAAAACTGATCACTTTATGTCATTCTATAATTATTTTTTAAACTATTTTAACTTTATACAAGGTATTTGTCTTCCTTTCCATGAATATTGACCCACATAATAATTTTAATGCTCTAGAAGGTTTTTTTGTTATACCAATATAAATATTTAACTAACATTTTTATGGACATTCATTAAAATTATTGTTAACCTGTTTTCACTGATAATATTTATAAAATGCTAATGAATAAATTTGAATAAATAAATTAATTTATATGATTACATAAAATTAAGTTATTCATGGTAGGTATATTAGGTTTGCTGACTTATGCCTGGGAGAATACAAAATTTGTGTGTTTTATTACAGTCTGATTTTAAAACTAACTTTATATAAAGAGCCACATTTATTTTATTTTACATGGATTAACTGATCAAAGTTTTTGATATAGACAAGATCCTTCATTTTATTAAATAATTAATTAGGATTAAATTCAGTGTTTGAAGTATCAAATTTGATGTGCACAATGAAGGGAATTGTTAAATAATGTTCTAATTCACTATAGTAAATATTTGCATGTAGTCTTATGCTCATCACTTTCAATTATATTTCATCTGTATAGTAGGCCCTATGTTTATTAAAATCTATTTTATTAATAGTTATACTCCATTTGCTAATGGCCCCAATGATACTCCTGAAGAGATACTGCTGCGTATAGGCAATGGAAAGTTCTCTTTGAGTGGTGGAAACTGGGACAATATTTCAGATGGAGCAAAGGTATAAATTATAAATATGTTTGTTACATTAATCTTAAATTGCTGAAATATTTAAGTTATAGTCCAGTGTATATTTGCAGAATATATGGTGGTGTTATATGTCTGACTTTCTCTTGGTTTTTTGGTTTTTTGCTCATGCTTCTTCTTTGGGCAACATTCCTATTTTATTAGTTTATATGTGTTCAGAGAATATAAAATAGTTTCAGTATTAACCAAAACTAAAAATGTAAATATACTGAAGAAAAAGGCATACTTAAGCCAATTAAAGTTGCTTTCTGAATGTAGTGTGTGTGTGCGTGTTGTTTTTTTTTTTTATATCGTTTCTTCTTTAGTACAGATATTGACTAGTGATTATGTAGGTAATTTTTATGTTAAATATTCTTAGAGGATATATAAACTTTTTATCAGTAGCATCTAGATATTTATTATTAATGGCTTAGAGATTTCCAATAAAAATATAATGTAAGCCACATATGGAATTTTAAAATTTCTAGTTAGTATACACATCCTGATTTCCTATACAAGTGCAGAGTGAAAAATCATGAGTCCAAAGATTCACCCCTCAAAAAGTATAGTAATCTTAAAAGGTGCCAGAAAATTTTCATAAGGTAATTCTCATAAATCCACTGAATTAAAAATAAAAAACTTTTTATATAGTAAAAAATAAATAAATAAAAATAAAATTTTTAGTTAGCCACATTAAAAAAACAAAAAGAAAATGGTGAAATTAATTTAGTAACAATATATTTAACCTAGTATAGTTAAAATATTTTACCATTTAATCAACATAAAAATTAGTGAACTATTTTACATTCTTTGTTCATTTTAAGTCTCTCAAATTTTGTGTGCATTTATTCCTACAGTTTATCTGAATTTATGGAGTACCCACATTTTAAAGGTGCTTAATAGCCACATGTGTCTAGTGGCTGCTGTATTAGTGCAATTTCAAAGTAATTGGTCTTATTTAATTTAAGGGGGGGAGATCAACCCTTGACTACGGATTGTTACCTTTGTAATTTAAAAATTTTAAGTTTTAAAACAAAAGCCCAAAGGTTGTCAACATGTGTATTATAAGGACTTGACGCTTTTTTTAAATATTTTATTGATATTTTACAGAAAGGAAGGGAGAGAGATAGCCAGAAACGTCAATGAGAGAGAAACATCGACCAGCTGCCTCTTGCACACGCCCCACTGGGGATGTGCCCGCAACCAACGTACATGCCCTTGGCCAGAATCTGAACCTGGGACCTTTCAGTCCGCAGACCGACGCTCTACCACTGAGCCAAACCGGTTTCGGCGGACTTGACGCTTTTAAGCTGCATTTGCAATAGAAAACATTTTAAGACAAAAGCAATTGCTTATGTTTAATATCTGCTAATAATAAAACCTAATTGTCTCAAGTACACTAGCTAATCTGTAGGGTATATTATAGAGTAAATCTCATGTCCTGTTCATTGTAGAATGTTATTGCCAACAGAAAAAAAAAAAGAGAAAGGATTGTGTTTGGATGGTAGCCATAATAACACAGGTGTGCTGTGTGGTGTGGTAGAAGGAGCACCTGTTTAGAAGTCAGAACTGAGTGCTACTTTTGATCTACTAACTACGGTAGCTGCTTCAGTTTTCTCATTTGCACAATGTGGAGACTAAATTCTCCCTGTAGTTCCTTCTAACTCCAAAATTCCATTTCTGTGCATTTTGGTTTATTTATAATTTGCCTTACTTCCCCTTGTAAAGTGATTGAAACTACTAGTATTATTCACGAACCATATGTATTTTCTAAATCAGCCAGTTTGTGCATCACAAAATTACATGTTCACAAGAAAAAATTCTGATGTGTGTGTGTGTGTGTGTGTGTGTGTGTGTGTGTGTGTGTACACTGAATGGCCAGATTATTATGATCTCTGAACTCATAATAATCTGGCCACTCAATGTATACAGGAGAGAGAGAGAGAGAAAAAGAGAGAGAGAGAGAGAGAGAGAGAGAGAGAGAGAGAGAGAGAGAGAGAGAGAGAGAGAGAGGCTCAGTGCATAAAATTCGTGCATGGGTTGTGTGTCCCTCAGCCCAACCCTCATATACAGTATATGTGTGTGACACACACACACACACACATACACAGACACACACTAGAAGCTTGGTACATGAAATTCATTCACAGGGTGTGTCCCTCAGCCCAGCCTGCACCCTCTCCAATCTGGGACCCCTCAAGGGATGTTTGACTGCCCATTTAGGTCCAATCCTACCAGGCCTGGAGGAAAGGGCAGTTGTGGGGAATCCAGCCTGCAGGGGAGAGCAGAGAGCAATTGGGGGGGACCAGCCCTGTAGGAAAAGGCAGATAGGGGTGACTAGGCTTACAGGGGAGAGCAGTTAAGGGCAAACAGGCTGGAAGGGGAGCAGTTAGATATCAATCAGGCTGGCAAGGAAGTGGTTAGGGGGTGATCAGGCTGGCAGGCAGAAACGGTTAGGGGCAATCAGGAAGGCAGGTAGGCGAGCAGTTGGGAGCCAGCAGTCCTGGATTGTGAGAGGGATATCCGACTGCCCATTTAGGCCCGATCCTGGTGGGCCTAACGGGCAGTCAGACATCCCTTGAAGGGTCCCAGATTGGAGAGGGTGCAGACTGGGCTGAGGGACACCCGCTCTGTGCACGAATTTTGTGCACTGGGCCTCTAGTATACATATATTCATACATGAATTTGTGCATTGATCAGGTTCAGCCAGCCTGGCCAGGTGGAGGGGACTTGGACAGTTGGCTGGCCAGCCTGCTGGTACTTATGGTGGAGGGGATAATTTGCATATTAGCCTTTTATTATATAGGCTATACACTGAGTGGCCAGATTATTATGCTTTCAGAGATCATAATAATCTGGCCACTCAGTATATATATGCCTCTTGCTTTCCTTTAAAAGTATAACTGGCAACAGTTATTAAAATGATGAAATATATAGAAATTTATATGACAATTGTGCTTATAGTTATAGTTTTCTGTGGTATATGCTGTCGTATAATAACAACTGTTTTTACTTAATTATAGTTCCTTACATGTTATTTTCCCCTTTGAATGCTTTTCTTTCTATTGGTTAGTACCACCACCAGAAGCATACAGAAGATGCTTCTTCTTGCCTCATATCCATGCAGAGTTTATAAACTTGGTTTATTCAGTTAAACAGTGGGGCTCATAGTGGAAGCCATGTTAGCTTTGTGTACCTTATTGCTACAGTAGTTTCAGCTAATTCCACACATCCAAACCCAGGCTTAGAGAACATTGTAATTGATCCTTCCCTTTTGAAAACAAGGGGAGACAAGGAGAATAATCTGGCAAAGTAAAAGTAGAAGATGCAAGAGAGCAACGAAAATTTCATTACTTCATTCCAAAATAAGTAATGTGTTACTTATTTCAAGTACATATACCCTCAGCCAACAAAAAAATGCCCAGTAGAAATTTTTATGTAATAATTAATTACTGGCTCTTTCCTTGCCTCCTTAAAAAGAAAGAAAGAAAGAAAGAAAGAAAGAAAGAAAGAAAGAAAGAAAGAAAGAAAGAAAGAAAGAAAGAAAGAAAGAAAGAAAGAAAGAAAGAAAGAAAGAAAGAAAGATTTCTACTTTTTATCTTACTGTGTACCCATGCCAACATTGTATGTACTTTATTAGAGATAGTATTACATTCTACCTTGTCATATATTCACTTGTGTACATTTTTAATCTCCTCACTTGGGTAGCTGTAAATGTCATATTCATTTTTGTGTTTTCTTATTTTTTTAGTCATGAAAGATTTTTAGTTATTTTTAATTACAAAAGCAATTCATGGATATGTTCAGGTTGTAAAAAAAACATTTACACAATACATATAAAATTAGTCTCCCCCAAGGAAACAATGTTTTTAGCAACATGAGAATTTTAATTTTATAATTTTATTGAACATTTTTAATGTTAACATTTTTGCCGGTGTCACTCACTTCCCTCATTTTGCCCACCTCCACCCACCTGTACCCCCCCCTCGGCCTTCACCAAACTATTGTTCATGTCCATAGAGTATGCATATATGTTATTTTTTTATTATTTAAAGTATCACATATGTCTCCTTTTCCCCCCGATTTGCCCAGCCCCCATCCACTCCTTACCCCCAGGACAAGTCCCCACCACCTCAGTGTTTGTGTCCATTGCTTATGCTAATATGCATAGTTATTCTCCAGTTCCCCCTACCCTGCCTTCTCTCTGAGTTTGGACAGTCTGTTTACTGTTATCTTGTCTCTGGGTCTATTTTTGTTAATCAAATTATGTTGATCATTATAACCCATATATGAGTGAGATCATGTGATATATATATATATATATATATATATATATATATATATATATATATATATATATAATTTCTCTGACTAGCTTATTTTGCTTACATAATGTTCTCCATGTCATTCCATTATGTTGGCTGTAGGTTTGTCATATAAGGCTTTTATTATGTTGAGGTATGATCCCTCTATTCCCACTTTGCTAAGAGTTTTTATCAAGAAAAGTGTTGGATTTTTCCAAATATTTTTCTGTATCAATTGATATAATTATCTGATTTTTATCTCTTAATTTGTTTATTTGATATATCACATTTGTTGATTTGGGGATATTGTACCATCCTTGCATCCCTGGAATAAATCCCACTTGGTCATGGTGTATGATCTTTCTAATGTAATGCTGGATCCAATTTGCTAGACTTTTGTTGAGGATTTTAGCATCTATGTTCATCAAGGATATTTGCCTGTAGGTCTCTTTTTTTGTGGTATCTTTATCTGGTTTTGAAATTAGAGTAATGCTTGCTTCATAGAAAGAGCTTGGAAGTGTTCCTTCCTCTTGAATTTTTTGAACTAGTCTAAGGAAAATAAGTTTTAGTTCTTCTCTGAATGTTTGGTAAAACACCCATAGAAAACCATCTGGACCAGAGCTTTTGTTTGCTGGAATATTTATTACTACTTCCATTTCCTTGGTAGTTTTCGTTCTATTCAGGTGTGTGT